AGGCTGGCTGGGGGATTCTGGGAGTTGAGTCCACCCACCTTAAAGCAGGCTGGCTGGGGGATTCTGGGAGTTGAAGTCCACCCACCTTAAAGCAGGCTGGCTGGGGAATTCTGGGAGTTGAAGTCCACCCACCTTAAAGCAGGCTGGCTGGGGGATTCTGGGAGTTGAAGTCCACCCGCCTTAAAGCAGGCTGGCTGGGGGATTCTGGGAGTTGAAGTCTACTTAAAGGAATTCTGGGAGCCCATCCCTCTTGAAGCATGCTGGCTGGGGAATTCTGGGAGTTGAAGTCCACTCACCTTAAAACAGGCTGGCTGAGGAATTCTGGGAGTTGAAGTCTAACATCTTAAACTTGCTAAGTTTTAAAAAATGCTCTTTTAAATGATAGCCCAGATAGAACCTTTATGTAATTTTTAATAGTTAACTCACCTGGGAACTGTAGTCCTTTGGGGGTTCCTCTGACAAAGTGGCGTTTTGCCCATCCCACAGACCCCCCCCTAACCCCTTCCTTTCTCCCCACCTCCAGACCGGGAAGCTGAAAGCGAGGAGGAAGAAGAACAACCAGACCCCAAAAAACCTACCACCGATGAGGTACGTGGAAGGGGGAACTTTGGCCGGGCACATCCGGAATATTTTGGGGTGCACCATTGACTTTTAAAGAGGCCTTGAAAACCGTGGCGTTACAGGTAGTCCTCAAGTTATGGCCACCATTGAGCCCAAGATTTACGGTGCTAACAGAAAACTTTTTAAGTGCCCCACTTTACGGCTTTTCCTACCAGAGTTGTTAAGTGAATCATTGCAGCTGTTAACTTAGTCACACGGTCGTTAAATGAACCCAGCTTCCCCACTGACATTGCTTGTCGGAAGGTCTCAAATGCGGGTCACATGACCCTGGGACACCGCAACTGTCATAAATACGAACCGCTTGCCAAGCATCCGAATTTTGATCACCTGACCATGGGGGACGCTGCAACGGTCGTAAGTGTGAACAACGGTCGTAAGTCCCCTTTTTTCCGTGCCGTGCTAACTTGGAACGGTCACTAAATGAACAGCTATAAGTCGAGGACTACCTGTGTTTTAATTTTGTAACTCCCAGGAGTCATCGCAAGAGCCCCGATGGGTAAAGATTCCATTTCCCAGGTTTTCCCACCAGCCTTGAGCCAGAGGGGATTCTGGGAAATGGAGTTTTAAGACCATTCGGACAGCTTTCAAAGTTTTGCATTGCCGACACTGCTTTTTCCCATTTTTCTTTGCGTTTGCCAACTCCCCGATCGCCCGCAGGGCACGGCCAGCAGCGAAGTCAACGCCACAGAGGAGATGTCGACGTTGGTCAATTACATCGAACCGGTCAAGTTCAAGTCCTTCGAAGCGGCCAGCAGTGAGTTGGGGGGGGGCGGTGGGGAGACACGGACGAGCGATGGTGGCCAGCTCAATGGCAGCTGAATTGGCAGCTTCTGCCTTTTGAATCGGGACCTTTTGGGGTGTAGAAATGTGTCCCGGGGGTGCCTGGTTATTAATGTGCCTCTTAATTACAGTGGCCATATTTTCTTGGGGGGGGGGAAATACAGGGAGTCCTCGACTTAAACAGCCAGAAAATTTGTCATTAATTGAGGCATCGTGAGACTGCACCCAATTTTACAGCCTTTTTTTTTTTTGGCTGGCTGGCTGGCTGGCTGGCTGGCTGGGGAATTCTGGGAGTTGAAGTCCACAAGTCTTAAAAGTTGCCAAATTTGGAGAGCTCTGATTTTTCAGCAACCTAGCTGGCTGGGGAATTCTGGGATTTGAAGTCCACAAGTCTTAAAGTTACAAGTTTGGAGACCCCTGATTTACAATAACCTAGCTGGCTGAGGAATTCTGGGAGTTGAAGTCCACAAGTTTTAAAAGTTGCCACGTTTGGATATCCCTGCTCTATGAGAAAGGGCATACGGTAACTCTAACCGTGACCATAATCAAAACAGGGTTTTCATTCCCTTGTAGAGGCTACCATTGTGATTTTTTATTTATTTTTGGACTCTCCCTCCTTCCTTGCAAAAACCCTGATCCTTGAGATCTAGAGGCTTGTCTTGAGTGCTTAAATACGCAGCTGGACAGTCATCAAATTCAGGGCGTTTCATTTGAATGACGGCCGGCCAGTTCCTTTGCGTGTCCAAAATTCCACTAGCCAGATTTAAAGCAAACTTGGCCAAAATCCCTTAGTGATGGAGGGCTAGTCTCTCTCTTTCTGACCAGCCTTTACCTCGCAGGGTTGTTGTTATGGGAAAAATGGGGCCCTAGGCGCATGCAAAAAACTGACCTCCTGCTATTTCTTTCCTTCCTGCTCTTCTAGAAGGCAACAAATGTTATGAAATGTCTTCCTTCGTGGAGACCAAAGGACTGGAGCAGCTGACCAACAGCCCCATGGAGTTTGTCGAGTATCCTGGATAGTTCCCAAGCCAACGTGGAGCTCTCGAACCCATGTCTTTTGTCACTCAGAAGCCCCTTCCCCTTTTTTAAAATGACCGGGCTTTGGCACGGCTGATATTTATCAGTATTTCCCACATTAAACGTTTAAATTGATGTTTTCGCTCCGGTCCAAGTGATCACGACGGTGGGGTTGGATTCGAATGTGGTGTTCTTGTTCAACGTAGCGAAAACAAGGTAGTCCTCAAGTTACGACCACAATTGAGCACATTTTTGCCCCGTTTTACAAGCTTTCTTGCCACAGTTGTTAAATGAATCACTGCAGTTGTTAAGTTAGTGACCCGGTCTTGCTCATCGGAAGGACACAAAAAGGGGATCGCATAACCCCGGGGACACAGCGACCATCATAAATGTGAGTCAGTCGCCAAGCGTCTGAATTTTGATCACGTGACCACGGGGACGCTGCAACGGTGGTTAAGGGTGAAAAACGGTCCAACGTCACTTTTTAAGTGCCGTCGTAACTTTGAACGGTCACTAAATTGAGGACTGCCTGCCGTGTCAATGTTGACGACTCCTGAGAGGATTTTGGGGTCAACCCCAGGGATATTAGGACCTCGTTGCTCTAGGCCAGGGGTAGGCAACCTTGGCTCTTTTATGACTGGTGGACTTCAACTCCCAGAATTCCTGGGCCAGCATGGCTCAGCTTGGAAACCTCTCCCTTTCCCCTCAGCATGGCTGGCTCAGGAATTCTGGGAGTTGAAGTCCACCAGTCATAAAAGAACCAAAGTTGCCTACCCCTGCTCTAAGGGATGCTGCCTGGAGTAGGGGTTGGAATAAATGACCTCTCAGGTCCCACCCAACAGCGTGGTTCATAATTCTAATGTTAAGAAGGCAGGCTGAATTGAAAGGAAAGGTGAGGCATAGGTTGGATGGGATTGCTTTGTGCGGCGAGAGACATGTTGATAGCCAGCTGGACAGCTTGACCATCCTTACTGGCTTTGCGGCCTTGACACGAATCCCTCCCAGATACAACAAGAAGCAGCTTAGCCGAATCTACCCCAAAGGGACACGCGTGGATTCCTCCAACTACATGCCACAGCTCTTCTGGAACGCCGGCTGTCAGATGGTGGCCCTCAATTTTCAAAGCCTGGGTGAGTTCCCCTTCTGGAGGCCAATGAGGACTAGGAACGTGCCCAGGCGTGTACGCGTTGAAAAAAGGGCAGCCCTTTCCCTGGAACTTTTCGCTGCGGCCTTCTTTAGATCGGTTGAATGAGATCGCTTGTAGTTTAGCTGGCCCTCAAAATGTCAAGCCAGAGGAACTTGGAAGGACGATGGTGATGATTTATTAAATTTATTAAATTTATCTGCCGTCCGTCTGACGATTGAGTGACTGCTAAAACGGAGGTTTCTGTGCTTTATGCACGGTGCTAAAATTCATATTTGTTTACATCTTGATTTTTTTAAACGGTTTTGGGTGCCTTGGCCAAAAAGCGGGCGACTTTGATCAATGAATTTCCCTACCATTTTTTAGCCTACTCCTAAAACATGCCTCGAAGCTTTATATTCTCAATAAAAACACGAGCCCCTCTAGATAATCTTCGCCTCTAAATACAAGGGGGAATGGAGCTGTGGGCTGCCCAGGGCGTACCCAGCGGCTTTGCCGGTTGCCGTCAGCTTTGCCTCTGCTAGTATAATGAGGACTAGGAACTTGGTTCGCATTTTCGGTATCCCCCCCCCCCTCCACGCAGACTTGCCAATGCAGCTGAACCTGGGCACCTTCGAGTACAACCGCCGGAGCGGCTACTTGCTCAAGCCCGAATTTATGCGACGGTCGGACAAGTTTTTCGACCCGTTCACCGAAGACATTGTTGATGGCATCGTGGCGAACACCGTCAGAGTGAAGGTTGGGAGGCATGGCGAGGGGGACGGGGTGCAAAAGTGGGTGGAAACTGTGTAGATATCTGTCGGTTGTGACTTTGAGGGGAGGGGGGAGGGAGGGAAGGAAGGAAGGAAGAAGGGATGGAGGGAGAAAGGAAAAAGGGAAGGGAAGAAGGGAGGGAGAAAGGAAAGGAAGGGAGGGAGGGAGAGAGGGAGGAAAAAGGGAACAAGAGGGAGAAAGGAAAGGGAAGGAAGGAAAGGAAGAAAGGAAGGAAAAAGGAAAGAAGGGAGGGAGAAAAGAAAAGGACGGAAGAAGGAAAGGAAAGAAGGAAGGAGAAGAAAGATTGACAGAAAGGGAGGGAGGGAAGAAGGCAAGGAGGAAGGAAGGAAAAGGAAGAAAAAAAGGAAGGAAAAGAGAAGGAATAAAAAGGGAAGGAGGGAGGAAGGAAAGAAGAAGGAAAAGAAAAGAAAAAGGAAGGAAGGAAAGAGAAGGAAAGAAGATGGGAGGGAGGGAGAAAAATCAGCAAGCAAACCTATTTGAGCTAGCAATCTGAGTGGAAGAGAGTTCTTCTGAGCATACAAAGAGTTGCGTCAGAAACTGGCAAGCGAATTCAACCAGAGTTTTAGGGCTAAGACGGGAAACGCATCTTCTCAGATTATCTCCGGTCAGTTTCTCTCGGATAAGAGGATCGGCATCTACGTCGAGGTGGACATGTTTGGGCTGCCGGTGGACACCAAGCGCAAATTTCGCACTCGGACCTCCCAGGGCAACTCCTTCAACCCCGTTTGGGACGAGGAGCCCTTTGTCTTCCAGAAGGTGAGCACGGAGGTGGGCAGCATTGACGTTCCTTGAGGCCATGGATCAGGGTACTTCTGAGCATGTGCAGAGTGCGTTTCTTTCTCGCCCGGAATCACAGCTTTTGCTGATCTGCCCCAAAATTAAATTTTGTCTCTTTGAGGTGAATGGCCTTTCGTTTTGTTCCGCTCCATTCACAAAGGTTGTGTATGCGTGTATGAGTGTTTTTGTGTGTGCGGAGCATCCACGGCACAATCTGAACTCGGCTCTTCCCTCCAGCAGTTCTTTCTACTCTCTGTTTGCCCAGGTCGTGCTGCCAACCCTTGCCTCGTTGCGCATCGCGGTTTTTGAGGAGGGTGGCAAATTTGTGGGGCACCGGATCTTGCCCGTCTCTGCCATCCGTGCAGGTGAGTTCCTCCATTTCCTCCCCCCAGTGGCAAAGTTCTTGCAGAGTTGGTTCCCTCGTCCCCCTTCTGCAGAATAATGGGATTTTCATGCTTGAAGTAGGACTAGAACTCTCCGTCTCCTGGTGATTGGCCCAAAGTCACCCAGCTGGCATTCGTGCCTAAGGCGGGACTAGAACTCTCAAATCTCCTGATGATTGGCCCAAAGTTACCCAACTGGCATTCATACCTAGGGCGGGACTAGAATTCACTGTCTCCTGGTGATTGGCCCAAAGTCACCGAGTTGGCTTTCATACTTAGGGCGGGACTAGAACTCACCGTCTCCTGGTTTCTACCTGGCGCCTTAATCATTAGACCAAACTGACTCTATACAAATAATCCCAGCGCATCATATTCCATGTTTTTATTTATCTCTTTGGGCAGGAGATGCAATTAGAAGGTCCCTTCCAACCTTATAATTCTCTGTATCTGGAAATCCTGGAGATCAGGTCTGCCTGATTTCTCCTTCTGTCTTAACACTTCTGTGCTAATGTTGTGTGTCTGTGTGTGTGTGTCATTTTCTCTTTCTCAGGATACCACTATATTTCTCTGCGCAGCGAAAGCAACCAGCCCCTCTGCCTCCCGGCCTTGCTGGTCTACACGGAAGCTTGCGACTATATTCCCGACGATCATCAAAGTAATCATGGCTTGTGGAAAGGGGGCGGGTCCTTCCTGGGTGGGTGGGGACACTCTGATGCTGTCGGCCCTGCAAGGTAGACTGGATTAGCCCACCAAAACCATGCAGGTAATCCTCCATTTACAACCGTATCTTTAGCAACCGTTCAAAGTTACACACACAAAAAAAGGGGGGGACTTCTGACCGTTTTTCAACTTTAACGACCGTTGCGGCATTTCCAGGGTCACGCGATCAAAATTCAGATGCTTGTCAACTGACTCCTATCGATGACGCTCACAGTGTCCCAGTGTGTGTGTGTGTGTGTGTGTATGTGAGGTGATCCGCTTTTGTGACCTTCTGACAAGCAAAGCCCAATGGGGAAGGCAGATCCACTTAACCGTGTTGCTAACAACAACTTCAGCAATCCGCTTACTGCAGGGGGTCTTCAAACTTGGCCACTTTTAAGGCTTGTGGACTTCAGCTCCCAGAATTCTTCAGCTAGCCCACAAGTCTTAAAAGTGGCCAAGTTTGAAGACCCCTGGCTTACAGGAATCATAAATGGGATAAAACCAAAATAAATTGTGTAAATACACGGTAGATATATAACTGTGGCGAGAAAGGTCGTAAAATGGGGCAGCATCCCTCTGGTCATCGAAGGGACCTGAGTCTCTTTTTCCCTGTGTCGTTGTAACTTTGAATGGTCACTAAATGAACCGTTGTTAATTGAGGACTCCCTGTAATCTCCGTCTCGCGGTAGGATAGACGCGGTGGCATACGGACGTGCGACAGAGAAAGCCAGGCTCTGAGCATCGGGACCAGATTCTCCAGCCATCTCTGTCTAATCCCCGTCTAATCCCAATCCCTGTTTTCTTAGGAAAGTGGCGGGCCCTTAAGGCTCTCTTTCTTCTCTCCCCAGATTACGCCGAGGCGTTGATTAACCCAATTAAGCACGTCAGCTTAATGGACCAGCGGGCCAAACAGCTGGCTGCCCTGATTGGGGAGAGGGAGGTGAGGACTTCCGGAGTGAGACGACGCGCAACTAGGCGGACAGGTTACGGAGGGTGGAGATGCCCGGGTCATTCTTGCATTAAATCGGGGGGTCAGTTTTGTGACGAGATGGCCTGGCGGGTGTCATAGAGTGATTTGGGGTGGCAGAGAGAGAGGGGGGCATTTAAAAGGGTTGGGATGCCCATCTTCATTTCCCCCTATCCCCCCCCGTTTGGCAGGAGAACGTGGAGAAGCCGAAGGAGTCCCTGTTGAGGAGTCCGTCTTGCACCACCATGGGGCCGGCCCGGGAGGTCCAGAAACCCCTCCCGGACGTGCTGCCCCCAACTCGGACCCCCAGCATCATCCCCAGTCAAGGTGAAGCAATAGCAATAGCACTTAGACTTATAGACCGCTTCACGGTGCTTTATCTGGGTCCTCGTTTTTACTGACCTTGCAAGGAGGGAAGGCTGAGTCAGTCTTGAGCGGGTCAGAATCGAACTGCTGGCAGTTGGCAGTGTTATCCTGCAATACTGTATTCTAACCATTGGGAAGGAAGGAAGGAAGGAAGGAAGGAAGGAAGGAAGGAAGGAAGGAAAATAGCACTTAGACTTATATACCACTTCACAGTGCTTTACAGCCCTCTCTAAGTGCATTACAGAGTCAGCCTCTTGTCCCCCAACAATCTGGGTCCTCATTTTTACCGACCTCAGAAGGATGGAAGGCTGAGTCAACCTTGAACTGCCCAGGATCGAATGGCTGGCAGTCGGCAGAGTCAGCCTGCAATGCTGCATTCTTAACCACTGCGCCACAAAGGCTGAAAGAACACGCCGCATGGAGAAATGTCCTCAGCCTGTATAAAATTCCTATTGGCTGCTGGAATGGGGGGAGTGGGGTCTTTTTGCCCACCGTGGGAAAGTTGGGGGACAAAGAACGAGGCCCCATATTTTTCTGCCCAGCCCAGTTTTGAGATTGGAATTTTAGAAGCTCTGAAGTCCGTTTTTTCCTTCCGAATTCTGAATTCCTTCTCTTCCTATATTCTCTAGGCCAGAGAGATGACCTGATTGCAAGCGTCCTGGCAGGTAAGGATGGGGGTGTTTTGCCAGCCCCCTTAGCCCCAAAGGGTGCCCGTTGACAGCAGTGGAAAGTTACGGCTTACCACGGGTCCTCGTGCTTACGACCGTTGCAGCATCCTCACGATTCGCGTGATCAGCACTTTGCAACCGGCACGTATTTACAACGGTTGCAGCGTCCGGGGTCATGCGATCCTTATTCACGACTTTCCCAATCAGGCAGAAGCCAATTCATTTAAAGACCACACAATTCATTTAAGAACGGCGGCAATTTGCTTAATGACCGTAAGATCGTAAAATGAGAAGCGACTCTTTTAATAACCACCTTGGAAATTCCCAATTGTACGTCGAGGATTACGTGCCTATTTACATTTCCGGTTTTACAAGCCGCCGAGAGTTGCTTGATCCGTCAGATGGGCAGCATAGAAATTTAATAAATATTTTTTTTAAAAAAACAGCCACTCAAGTTCCTAGTCCATATTGACGCGGAGAAAAAAAACTTGAGAACGGAGAAGCAGGGGACGGCATGATCTCTCTCTCTCTCTCTCTCTCGATCTCTCTCTCTCTCTCCCCATCTCACACTCCCTTCCCTTCCCGTTTCCTTCTCACCGGAGACCTAGACTCCGCAAACCCTCATGCTTTGCTCATCTCTTCCAGAGGTGTCCCCGCCTTCCGTGGAAGAACTGAGGCAGCAAAAGGCTTTTGTGAAGTTGCTGAAGAAGCAGTACCGGGAGCTGAAGGAGCTCCGCCGCAAACACATGAAAAAAATTTGCAGCCTCAACAAAAAGCAGAACGCGCAGCTGGAAAAAAGCCGGCTGCGTAGCCGGGAAGGGTGAGAATAATATCAGATTTTTTAGCAAGTGTGTCGCACAAGAAGCCCCAAAAAAGGACGGTTAGATGAGATTCGCCGTGCAGGGGAAAAAGAGAATTACAGCAGGTTTTCTGCTGCTGAGAAAGAGAGATTTAGAGCAATTTTTCCATGCTGAAAATGAGAAGTAGGACAGATTCTCTGTGCCAAAAAGGAGATTTACAGCAGATTCGTCATGCAGAAAGAGAGACTTAAAGCCAATTTACTAGGCAGAAAAGAAGATTTAGAGCAATTTTTTTTAGGCCTAGAAGGAGATTAACAGCAGGTTTTCCAGGCAGATGCACTTAAACGACGGCGATACTAACTTAACAACTTCAGTGATTCCCTTAACAACGGAGACAAGAAAGGTCGTAAAATGGGGCAGAATTCACTTAACAGCTGTCTCCTTTAGCAACAGAAAGTTTATGCTCCCTTGTGGTGGTAAGTCAAGGATGACCTGTAGTTAAGCCAGTGTCGTCTTGAAAACCTCCAGTGTTGGAGCACCCACAACTTCTGGTGGCAAGCTGTTCCACTGGTTAATTGTTCTCACTTTCAAGAAATTCCTCCTTAATTCCAGGCTGCTTCTCTCCTGGATTAGTTTCCATCCGTTGCTTCTTGTTCTGCCTTCAGGTGCTTTGGAGAATAGCTTGACCCCGTCTTCTTTGGGGCAGCCCCTGAAGGCAGGACAAGAAGCAACGGGTGGAAACCAATCAAGGATAGAAGCAACCTAGAACTAAGGAGAAACTTCCTGACAGTTAGAACAATTAACCAGTGGAACAACCTGCCTCCAGAAGCTGTGAATGCTCCAACACTGGACGTTTTTAAGAAGAGACTGGACAGCCATTTGTCTGAAATGGTATAGGGTTTCCTGCCTGAGCAGGGGGTTGGACTAGAAGACCTCCAAGGCCCCTTCCAACTTTATTATTATTATTATTATTCTCTGTGGCAGCCCCTCAAATACTGGAAGGTTGCTAACATGCCTTCTTTGTTGGCAGGTCTCAAAGCTCTTTAGAAGGAGCCCGACAAGGACAGGACCACGAGGAACCTCAACGGAAGCTGGAACTTCAGGAATGGCAAATGCAGGGGGGTCTGCTACGGCTGCGCGAGGCTCAGCACCAGGTGGAGAGGGAGTTGAAGCGAGATCACCTGCACCAGGTATCATCTACACCAGGGGGTCCTCAAACATGGCCCTTTTATGACTTGTGGACCGACCCCTGCTCTCCACAGTGGCCTCTGCTCACCCCAGTCCTCTGGCCAGGCACACCCTGACTCCACAGCCCGATTGGTGACTGCGGAGATCCCTGTTTCTAGTCCTCATGACAAAAAGGCGGGGTTGGACTAGATGACCTCCAAGGTCCCTTCCAACTTTATTCTTCTTGTTGTTGTTGTTATTAAGTTCCTGTGCTCTGCTTTCTTCTGGCTTCTTCCCCCCAGGCCCAGCAGCGCTTAAGAGACATCGCTCAGGATTATCAGACGGCTCAGTTGAAGAAGCTGAAAGAAACGAGCGAGAAGTGAGTTCGTAACGCGACGAGAAGCGACAGGCTTCCGGTGATGAGGAGCGTTGGGAATTTTGCCTTTCGCTTCATCCCGCCATCTGTCGTCGCCCTCGGGGTGTGGCCTTTGGGACTTCAGAAAAGCATTTTGTTCCTGATCAGGCTGTTAATTCCTCTTCTCCCCTATGTGGGAGCCTTATACAAGTAATCCTTGACTTAACGACCACCATTTCTGTTGTTAACTGAGACATTCGCTAAATGAGTTTTGTGAATCGCTGCCGTTTTTAAATGAGTAACTCCGCTGTTAAGTGAATCTGGCTTCCCCCATTGACTTTGCCTGTCAGAAGTTCGCAAAAGGGGATCACGTGACCCCGGCAGACTACGACCGTCATAACTGCGAGTCAGTTGCCAAGCGTTCGAATTTCGATCACGTGACCGTGGGGGGGGGACGCTGCAACGGTTGTAAGCGTGAAAAACGGTCGTCAGTCCCTTTTTCCAGTGCCGTTGTCACTTCGAACGGTCACTAAACAAATTGTCGTAAGCCGGGGACGATCTCTACAAGGCTTCTCGTCAGCCTCGAGCGACGTTTTTAAATTTGGTTGAGGAAAAAACAAAACAAAAACCAGTTGTAATTTTAATAATAAACGTTTAGCTCCCGTTTGGCATCTCACACTGCCCGGTCAAGACTTCCGAAGATTTGGGATAAAAAGATAATTCACACGTTGTGGAATGAGCACTAAGGTGGCTTGTCGTCCTTTTGTGTGTTAAGAGAGAAGAAGGAGCTGCAGAGAATCCTGGATCGAAAACGACACAACAGCATCACGGAAGCGAAATCTCGCGAGATGAGCAAAAAGGACATGTGAGTTAGAGCAGGGCCGGAAGAAAAACATAATTGTAGGGTGATTGGTACGGGCGAGCGAAGGAATTGTTGGATTGTCCTTAACCTGGTTTGTCTCTTCCCAGGGAGTTAACCGAGATAAACAGAAGGCATATCACTGAATCCGTAAACTCCATCCGGAGGGTAAGCCTCTAACAATCCAGCATTTTCCTAATTGTCAATGTTCAGTTTCCCTTTTTTTCTAACGGCTGTCGTTCTCGCACAACGCAACACACCGCAACACCGCTGTAAATCAGCGTCACCCAAAAAAAGAAATAGGAAACTAAGTTAAAGGTTTACAAACTTATATAAAGCTTTCCAGGATCGGAGAGAAGGATACAATTCTGGATGAATCTTAATTTATTGGACCGATGCTTTGAGTTGAGCACGCACACACACAGCTCCCCCCAAAATGTGAAAAGTCCATATTTAGGATTAAATCTGCGCCCAGATTCTGAGCCTGAGAATATTTCTGGATGGCCTTCAAGGAGTGGCCCCAAGACAATCGCATGGCAGTCGTCTAGACTGGAGCGAACAAAACAGGAGCAACTTTGATTCCCCCGGGAAAAAGAGGATGGGTGGTGAACCAGCTGATGAATTTGGAAGGCTGCTCTTCTATTCCTTTGCTTATTTTCTCTCTCTCTCTCTCTCTCTCTCTCTTTTTTTTTTTCAATTCTCCCAGCTTGAAGAGGCCCAGAAGCGACGCCAGGAAAAGCTACTTTTGGGACACCAGGAAATGGTGCAATTGATTGAGGACGAAGAACCCCGGGTGAGTGATTTTACAAGGGTCACCGAGACCAATCTTGGACCTCGGGAGACAGGGCGAAGAGACGCTGCTAAGGGAACAGCCAGATAAGAGGCAGCTGAGCCCTTGGCTGCATAATGGATGGGACCCTCCCTATTTTCTTAGGCTGTAAAAGAAGGGGGTGAGAGAATCTAGATCTATGGAAAGAGTTCAGAGTTGTGCAGGTACGTGGGAAAGACTTTTGGAAACAGAGCAAAGAGACCCTACCCAGGAACAATCAGATAAGAGACAGCATAGCCCTCAGATGTATAATGGATGGAGAAAGAGGGTCAGAAGGGACCCTCCCTAGTTTCTCAGGCTGTGAAGGAGAGAGCTGGAATGTGGGAAAGACTTCAGGGTGAAGAGATGCTGCCAAGGGAATAGTCAGATAAGAGACAGCTGAGCCCTCAGCTGCATAATGGGTGGAGAAAGAGGGTGAGAAGGGACCCTCCCTAGTTTCTCAGGCTGTAAAGAGGGGGGGGGATCTAGATCTATGGAAAGAGTTCAGAGTTGTGCAGGTATGTGGGAAAGACTTTGGGAAACAGAGCAAAAAGACCCCAGGAACAGTCAGATAAGAGACAGCAGAGCCCTCAGATGTATAATGGATGGAGAAAGAGACTCAGAAGGGACCTTCCCTAGTATCTCAGGCTGTAAAAAGGGAGGGGGAATCTAGATCTATGGAAAGAGTTTAAGGTATGTGAGAAAGACATTGGAAAATAGAGCGAAGAGGCCCTGCCCAGGAACGGTCAGATAAGAGTCAGCAGAGCCCTCAGATGTATAACAGGCAGGGCAAGAGGCTCAGAAGGGACCCTCCCTAGTTTCCCAGGCTGTGAAGGAGAAAGCTGGAATGTGGGAAAGACTTCAGGATGAAGAGATACTGCCAAGGGAATAGTCAGATAAGAGACAGCTGAGCCCTCGGCTGCATAATGGATGGAGAAAGAAGGTCAGAAGGGACCATCCCTAGTTTCTTAGGCTGTAAAGGAAGGGGGTGAGAGAGTCTAGAGCTACGAAAAGAGTTCAGAGTTGTGCAGGTATGTGGGGAAGACTTTTGGAAACAGAGCAAAAAAACCCAGGAACAATCAGATAAGAGTCAGCATAGCCCTCAGCTGCATAATGGGTGGAGAAAGAGGGTCAGAAGGGACCCTCCCTAGTTTCTCAGGCTGTAAAGCGGGGAGGAGGGGAAAATCTAGATCTGTGGAAAACAGTTCAGAGTGTGTGCAGGTATGCATAATGATATCTGGGGGAGACCTTGGGAGACGGAGCAAAGAGACCCTGCCTAGCAACGGTCAGATAAGAGACAGCAGAGCCCTCAGATGTACAACAGGCAGGGCAAGGGGCTCACAAGGGACCCTCCCTAGTTTCTTGCCCTGTGAAGGAGAAAGCTGGAACGTGGGGAAGACTTCAGGGTGAAGAGAGGCTGCTAAGGGAACAGCCAGATAAGAGGCAGCTGAGCCCTCGGCTGCATGATAGGCGAGGCAAGAGGCCTCAGTCTCTCAGGCTGTAAAAGAGACGGCGGTGGACTTGCATTTTCAGACTCTTCTTCGTGCAGAATTAGCTTCTCTGCTTGTGTCCCCCGTCTGATCCTACCCGGCAGGGCTGACGGTCGCATAACTCAGGTGTCTTTGGGATCCAGATGTTTTCCGCTCGCTTCCTCCGTTCACTCCTTCTCTCCCTCTTCCCTAGTTGATAGCTCAGCTGGAGCAAGAGTGGCAGCTGGAGGGCTCGTCCCTGACCCAAGAAATCGGCCGTTTCCTGCAGGAAGAACTCGACGGGGGAGTCAGCAACGGACACTCCCCCGGCCCCAGCGTCAGCTCCTTGGCCCCGGAAGACGAGCTGACGGTCCTGTGAAGCCAACACACAGCAAGGGACGTCACTGACGGCCGGACAGCCGCGAACGAGAAACATGGGGTGGGGGCAGTTAAAAACACCCCACGTGGGAGAAGGTGGGGGGGCAGGTCCGGCCGGAAAAAAACCACACACACTAAAGGCACTTCTCGTTTCCTTTCCTTTTTAAAGTTTTATTTTTTTAACTGTTTAATTTTATTGCTAACCGTGTAATGTGTCTCCCAATTCCCAGTGGTGCATTGAGACTGGGGAAAGACTCGAGGGGGGGGGAGCCTTTTGGCAGAGGGAGGGCAACAGTTGGACAATCCACTCGCCGCCCCCCCTTCCCGAAATGTATGCACGCACCTGCACCCCTACCCGTGTACTTGCACGCCGTTGTTAGCAGTGGAAAAATACGCACGCTGCTTGTCCCTGTGGAATGCATGATTAGAGACAAAGGCAGTCTTTTCGTTGCGACTTTGAGGAGGAGGGGGGGCAAAGGGCTATTTTAAATGCACCCCCCCCTTTTTTTTTCCCTTTTAAAGTACAACTGGGAAGGAAAAAAGGGAAATGTAATTTTTCACCTTCCCTGCAGCTGGATGGGCTTTGCCAGCTGCATTGGGAGGGGGGGGACCACTGGGTAGGTTGGAAGGCTGTCCATGAACCAAGGACGGTGAGAGAAAGGGGACAAAAAAAGTCAAAGGTGTAGGCAGGTCCGTCCGTCGTTGCTTTCGGGATGGGTACAAAGAGGAGAGGGTCCGGGCCGGCCATCGGCCGATCAACCGTGCCTCTTTTTCTCCGGAATGGCATGGTTTGCTGTTATTTCTCTATTTTTTATTTTTAACGTTGAGTAATAAACTTGTAATTCAGCGTGGACTCCCCATGGGATTCTTGCCTCCACCTCTCCTGACGGCAAAGAGTGGCTGGGGAATTCTGGGAGTTGGAAGTCCACCAATCTTAAAAAGTTGCCGAGTTTGGAGTTTGCTTTATTCCGCTGCCCCCAAATATTGGCTGTGCCGACTGGGTATGATGGGTGTTGTAGTCCAACCCCTTGGAGGGCTACCAACTTGGAAAGACTGTTTTACAAAACACCCTTTTTCGCAAGTCTGATGTCAACCGAAAATGTGCCACGCTCATTTTCAAGTTCATTTATAAGTTCACCCTTTTAATTAGATCTGGTTTATAGAACACCCCCCTCCCCCTTTGATAGATTCTTTTTATAGAGCCACCCTTTCAAAATGATCCTGTTTATAAACCCCCTTGTTATGTCAAGTTATAGAAATCCCCTTTCGATGGATCCCTTTTATAGATCCAGCCTTGTTATGTGTTTGATTTATAGAAATCCTATTGATGGATTCTTTGTACAGATCCGCTCTTGCTGTAAGTCTGATTGATAGAACCCTCTTTTGATAGATCCCTTTTATGGATCCAGCCGTTACATGTTCGATTTTTTTAGAAATCCTGTTGATGGATCCTTTGTACAGATCCACTCTTGCTGTAAGTCCGATAGATCCTTTTTTATAGATCCACCCTCGTTATATGTTTGATTTGTAGAAATCCTCTGTGGATGGATCCCTTTTATACAGTTCCTTCAGTATAAGTCTGGTTTATAGGAACACCCCCCCCCTTTTGATAGATCCCTCTTACAGAGCCATCCTTTTAAAAAGATCCCGTTTATAAATCCCCCTCTTTCGACCGATCCCTTTCGCAGATCCACCTTTTTCCTTCCCAGCCACGAAGGGACGAGATTTTTCAAGCACCATTTAACAAAGCGAAAATCGTTTACAGTTCAATGCACAACAGTCTTTTTGATATTCTGGGTTTTTTTGTTGTTTTTGTTGTTTTTTTAGAAAAAATCACAAACTCACAAATAAAACACGCACGAAACAGGAAACAGATCCGAAGTTAGCGCAGGCAGGCAGGAGACGTAACCCGGCGCACGGTCAGGAACCAGACGGCAGGGAAAGGCCGAAGACGGACATTCGGGCGTCAGGACAAAGTGACAGAGAGGCGAGAGACCGGCTGTGGGGTGGGTGGGGGGCACAGGAGCTGCCATGCAAACGGGGGGGGGTTGTCCCAATGCACCCCCATTTTGGTGGGGAGAGGGAACAGCGGGGTGAAAAATACACGGAGACACGCCAGTTTGACTAAGTGAGCACGGGAAGTCCTCAACTTACGACGATTCGTTTGGCGACCGCTCAGAGTGAGGACACTGCTGAACAAAGTGACTGACAAGGGGTTGTCTCGCTTAACGACCCGTGGCTGTGTCCCTGTGATCATGTGACTCAAAACTTCAGGCAGGCATTGACGATGGTTGACGATGGTGGCCGTTCGCGATCTTCCCAGCAAGCTTCACAAGCAGTGGGGAGAGCCGGGTTTACTTAAGGACCACGTGATTCGCTTAACGACGTCAGCAAAAAAAAACAACTTATAAAATCGGGACCGGCTCAGTGACCGTGTGACTAGTTTCACCCCTGGAGCAAAACAGGTGGGAAAATTGGGCGCCGTGACTATTAACGACTGCAGCAAAAAAAAAAAAAAGGGGGGAAATCGGGCACAATTCAATGACCTGCTTAGCGACCGAAGTTCTAGTCCCAACAGTAGTCGTAAGTTGAGGACTGCCTCCACCTTGGCTCAGTTCTGAAATGACACACAAAAATATAAATGTCCTCTCTGGGTGGAGGGATCTGGGTTTGGCCGGCATGTAAAAATCAATGCTAAAAAATAAAAAATTGGGGTTCCGTACAGAGACTCCCACCCCAAAATGGACGACAGAAACGCAGGAACCCTGACGGGGGGGAAAGCTATATAGGGATACGCAGCTACTCTTCTGTTACTATTTCCTTTTTCTTTTTTGCTGTTTGGAGAGATGTTTTGTGCTGTTTTCTGGAAGAGCGCGAAGGTTGGCTTTTAAGAGAGACTGGACTGTGCTTCAGACAAATTGGCAGTTTCGAGATTGTCCCTTTTTTTAGCCCGGCCTGGTCGCTTCCCTTCTCCCCATCAGGGATGGGGGACCAAGAGGAGAGCCTTTTGTGCAAATTCCGTTCCTTTGTTCCAAAAACCTGGGTTTGGAAGGCGCTTCTCATGTCCAGGCACAAGCCAGCTTCCTTCCATTAAACCGTGGCTTGAAGGGGGGGCAGGGCAGAGGAGAGAGGTAACGTGTCCTGCTCCCCTTTTTTAAATTCTTCAGCATTGGCCCAAAAGGTGTGTTTTCTTTCGCCCGAGGTCCAAACTGTTCAATTAATGCAGGAATAACAGAGAAATTGGACAGGAGCGAATCCATCTCTTCCACCCCTCATTCAGACTTAGCTTTCCCCAAAAAGTTCTCTTTCCCCCAACTCTTCTCCAAGACACCATCTCGAACTCGTGACTTGGGGTGCTCCAAAACCGAGGGGTGTGTGGGGTGTGTGTGTGTGTGTGTGTGTCCCACCTGGTCCCCGCCGAAACGGAGACTTGAGCACGCCCCAAATCGGATGCCGAAGTGGCGAGACGGATGGCGGAGAGAGAGGAAAATAAATGGGGGTGGGGCAGGCATCCTGCATATTTCCATATACTCGGCTTCTCCGAGTGGTGTGAGGTCCTTTCTGGATTCGCCCCCCCCCCTGAAGGAGAAGCGTCTCGATTCGAACCCGCCGCTTCAGAAGCCCTCGATATGGCAATAGGCTTCCAAAGCCGCTAACAGGATGTAGACCAGCCAGAGGCTAACGAAAAGCAGGGTGGCTAGAAGTTTTGGGGTTCGGGGACCGCCCAGCTCTCCCCCCACCGGAGGCCGGCGCCGGTACAGCAGCACGGCGATGCTGATGAAGGCAAAGATGGTGAAGAGGGTGACGGAGAACGCCAAGCTGCCCGGCTGCACCTCAAAGGGCTTCCCCTGGCTGGCCCAGTAGCCGGCGGCGATGGTCCAGGCCACGCCAATGCCCAGGAAGACATTCACCGCGTTGCTGCCCGTCACGTTACCGATGGAAGCGTCGGCATACTGGTCTTGGATGGCAGCCACCTTGCTGGCAAAGGTATCTAGAAAAAGAGACAGAGAGGATGCTCAACGTGAGACAAGCCACGAATGTGGGTTTGTGGGACTCGTCTGGAATTCGAGGGGCAAAGGGACACCTTTTTTTCTGGACGGAGGACAGCGAGGTTAATAATAATAATAATAATAATAATAATAATAATAATAATAATAATAATAATAATAATAATAAAGTTGGAAGGGACCTTGGAGGTCATCTAGTCCAACCCCCTGCTCAGGCAGGAAACCCTACCCCATTTCAGACAAATGGCTGTCCAGTCTCTTCTTAAAAACTTCCAGTGTTGGAGCATTTACAACTTCTGGAGGCAGGTTGTTAATAATAATAAAGTCGGAAGGGACCTTGGAGGTCTTCTAGTCCAACCCCCTGCTCAGGCAGGAAACTCTATACCAGTGGTGGCGAACCTATGGCACGGGTGCCAGAGGCGGCACTCGGAGCCCTCTCTGTGGGCACGGGCACCGTCGCCCCAGTCCTAGGCCTTCAGCTGGGTTTTATAAAACCTCTTTGCTTTAGGCCTCTGCCGCCGTGTGAAAAAAAAAAGGTTCAATCAATCAGTCAATTTCAACTAGCGGGGGAAAAAAAATGATCTTGCAAAGTTGGAATTGATTGATTGAACTTTTTAGTCCCACCCAGTCTGCCGTTACCACTGCAGCTATGCCTACCCAATGGGCCACACCTACCCAATGGGCCATGCCCACCCAGCAACCCACGATGCATAAGTGGGTTTTGGGTTGCAGTTTGGGCACTCGGTCTCTAAAAGGTTCGCCATCACTGCCCTATACCATTTCAGACAGATGGCTGTCCAGTCTCTTCTTAAAAACTTCCAGTGTTGGAGCATTCACAGCTTCTGGAGGCAGGTTGTTCCGCTGGTTAATTGTTCTCACTATCAGGAAGTTTCTCCTTAGTTCCAGGTTGCTTATCTCCTTGATGAGTTTCCACCCGTTGCTGGATGGAATTCTCCAGCTGGCCTGCTTTAAGGGGTGTGGACTTCAACTCCCAGAATTCCCTAGCTGAGGAACTTGGGGGGGTTGAAGTCCACCCATGTTAAAACGGCCAACGTTGAGAAACACTTCATTACAGGTAATCCATGACTTAACAACCACAATGAGGACTGGAACCTCTATTGCCAAACAATGCAGTCGTTAAACAACCACATCACCCCATCCGATCTTATAACCTTTTTTGCTGTGGCCGCTAAGTGGATCCACCGACTCTGATTGTCAGAAGACAGGATAGGAAGGTTGCAAATGGCTACCGCATGTTGCAACCGTCATAAATACAAGCCAGTTGCCAATGCACCAGTTCTGATCACGTGACCATGGGGATGCTGCCACGGTCGTTAAGTGTGAGGACTGGCTGCAAGCCGCCGTTTTTCAGCCATCTCGTAACGTAGGCCGCTAAATGAATAATCGTAAGTTAGCATGTCCTACTTTTGCCCATCTGGGAAACCACAGTTAAAGAGTTTTGCGCAAGCTCCACAAATTAAGCCAGAGTTTCATGTTAGTGCCAAGCAATTAACTAACATGATTGGCTTGGATTAATTGAGCAACTGTTACTCATTAGAAGCAATTTGTTAAGCAGGCCTGTAGCTTCTCAAAGCAAAGAAGCTGCATCTGGAGCATCCTCAAAGCATTTGGCCTGGAGCCACCCAGATCGGGTCTGAAGTTTGTTTCCCAGCACCCCTCAACTTTAGCCAGGCAGGCTGGGGCACATGGGTGTTGTAGTGCGGCCCCCTCTGAAGACCCAGAGGTAAGATTATACTTTATATCTGTTTCAGGATAGGAAGATGTGCGTTTGGGGGGGGGGGGAGACGTTGGAACTGTTTTTTGCAAAAGGCTTCTAGGAAAAGCATCAGCTTTGTCTAGGAAAAAAACTTCCACTTATTTCGAGGGATTTTAATCCTCCTATATAAAGTTGAATTTATTTGACGTTGTCAAGGGGGACCGCATTCTCAGCCCGATTTTGATTAACACTTCAATTAAACAAGCTCTCCAGCCTTTTGGTCTCAATTATATCGGGCAATTTAGCCAATATTAGTGGCTGCTTGGCGTCTCTGGAAAGCCGTTCATTCCTGGCCATTGATTCAACCAGCATTTCTCAAACCTGGACAACATGAAGACCTGCGGACTTCAACGCACAGCCTGCCGGCTGGAGAATTCCGGGAATTAAAGTCCACCCATCTTAAAGTTGCAAAGTTTGAGCAACGTTGATTTAAAAGCCTGCAACTCGCCCGCTTCCAGTTAACGAAAGATTTTTTACTCTGCTCTCTAGCCAAAGCAGCCTTCCTTTATCCCAAACGAGATTTTTTCAACTGGACAAACAGCCAATTCACAAGCTTCCCTATTTTGCAGAGAAGCTGCAAAACGGATGGATGGAGGGATAGATGGATGGATGGATGGATGGATGGATGGATGGATGGATGGACAGACAGATGATTGAAAGTATAAAGATAAAGATATATATGATTGAAAGGATAGATGGATAGATAGATAGATAGATAGATAGATAGATAGATAGATAGATAGATAGATAGATAGATAAAGAGAGATAGAGATAGATAGATAGACAGATGATTGAAAGTATAAAGATAGAGATATATATGATTGAAAGGATAGATAGATAGATAGATAGATAGATAGTTAGATAGATAGATAGATAGATAAATAGATAGACAGACAGATGATTGAAAGTATAAAAATAGAGATATGTATGATTGAAAGGATAGATAGATAGACAGACAGACAGATGATTGAAAGTATAAAGATAGAGATATATATGACTGAAAGGATAGATAGACACAGACGGATGATTGAAAGTATAAAGATAGAGATATATATGATTGAAAGGATAGATAGATAGATAGATAGATAGATAGATAGATAGATAGATAGATAGATAGATAGATAGATATAGATAGAAATAGATAGATAGATGATAGATAGACAGATGATTGAAAGTATAAAGATAGAGATATATATGATTGAAAGGATAGATAGATAGATAGATAGATAGATAGATAGATAGATAGATAGATAGATAGATAGATAGATAGATAGATAGATAGATAGATAGAGGAGGGAGGGAGGGAGGGAGGTAGCCCTCAACTTACAGCCACAATTGAGCCCAAAATTTATGTTGCTAATTGAGACATTTCATAAGTGAGTTTTGCCCCATCTATGATAGTCCTTGCCACAGTCATTAACTGAGTCACTGCAGTTCTTAAGTTAGTAACCTGGTTGTTAAGTGAATCCAGCTTCCCCATTGATTGTGCTTGTCAGAAGGTCGCAAAAGCGCATCACGTGGCAACCGTCATAAATATGGACCAGTTGCCGAGCCTCTGAATTTCGATCACGCGGCCCCGGGGAATGCTGCAAAGGTCGTAACTATGAAAAACGGTCCTAGGTCACATCTTTCAGAGCCGTGGCACCTTCAAACGGTCCCTAAATGAACTGTTTTAAGTTAAGAGCTCCCTGTAAACAAATCACAAATTAAAAAAAACAAAATGTAAGCACCTGAGGTCCAGCAAGAGACCCTTGCAGCTCAGCTGGTGCAAGGCCACCCATGTCTTCAGCCCAGCTCTTTCCGAAAAAGGGATTTAACTCCCAAATTCTCTTTTTTGGGGAATGAGTGGGTGTGCCCTAATAACAGAGCACAAACTTCCAAGTCACCGATCAGAATTCGGGGGGGGGGGGACAACGAGCTGGCAGAGGCGAGCAAGTGAACATTTGCACGTCACTGCTCACCGATTCGGAGATGTGATCTTATTGCTATCAGCCTAAAAAAGATACAGGGACTTGTTTTTTGTTGTTGTTGTTGTTTGGTTTTAATTGCAAGGATTGTGTTTTCCTGTTTTGGGCGTTTTGCACAAGCCTGCTTTAAAATTCACCCAGCCGCTTCTACGTCTCGTTGAGTTTTTGTCAGCTGTGTGTTTAGCCGGTTGACTTTTCGGCTCTCTCAGCCACGAGTCCTGATGCTGCCTTCCAGTGAGTCAAGACTCCTTAAAAATAGCAAAAGCAAATTTAGGATTTGCTCTTGGGGGGGGGGAGCTGTCAAAGCACTGGTGCGCAGGGGGTGTATCTGGGGACACCAGAGATTATTTTAAGAGAGCCTCTGCAAAACGGAGCGGTCTAACTGCTAATTCTCTGTTGCAGTTCAATTTCTGGTTTCTTTTTATTTTGTCAGCCTGCAGAGCCCAACTTACTTCTAGTCCTTGACTTATGAACACAATTGGGAGCAGGGGGTTGGACTAGATGACCTCCAAGGTCTCTTCTTCTTCTTCTTCTTCTTCTTCTTCTTCTTCTTCTTCTTCTTCTTCTTCTTCTTCTTCTTCTTCTTCTTCTTCTTCTTCTTCTTCTTCTTCTTCTTCTTCTTCTTCTTCTTCTTCTTCTTCTTCTTCTTCTTCTTCTTCTTCTTCTTCTTCTTCTTCTTCTTCTTCTTCTTCTTCT